CTGGGTCCTGCACTTGGGTCACAATAACCTCGCGCAATGCTACAGGCTTGGGGAGGAGTGGCTGGAGAGCTGCCCAGTGGAAAAGGACCTGGGGGTGTTCATTGACAGCCGGCTGAACATGAGCCGGCAGTGTGCCCAGGTGGCCAAGAAGGCCAACAGTGTCCTGGCCTGTATCAGAAATAGTGTGGCCAGCAGGAGTAGGGAAGTGACCACTCGGCACTGGTGAGGCCGCACCTCGAATCCTGTGTTCAGTTTTGGGCCCCTCACTACAAGAAAGATACTGAAGTGCTGGAGCGTGTCCAGAGAAGGGCAACGAAGCTGGTGAGGGGTCTGGAGCACAAGACTTATGAGGAGCGGCTGAGGGAACTGGGGTTGTTTAACAGGGAAAAAAGGAGGCTGAGGGGACACCTTATCGCTCCCTACAACTACCTAAAGGAGGTTATAGCGAGGTGCCTGTTGGTCTCTTCTCCCGAGTAACAAGTGACAGGACAAGAGGAAATGACCTCAAGGTGCGCCAGGGGAGGTTTACATTGGATATTAAGTAAAATTTCTTCAGCGAAAGGGTTGTCAAGCATTGTAACAGGCTGTCCAGGGAAGTGGTTGAGTCACGACCACTGGAGGTGTTTAAAAGATGTGTTTCCATGGTGCTTAGGGACATGGTTTAGTGGTGGACTTGTCAGTGTTAGGTTAACGGTTGGACTTGATGATCTTAAGGGTCTTCTCCAATGTAAACAATTCTATGATTTTATGATTTTGTTTTGTAGATCTGCTGACCACGAAGAGACTTCTGTTCTTCCTCTTCTTAATGCAGGCTTTGATAGGGTATGTATAAATTACATATTTAATATAGTAACCATGATTGCTTCATAAATTACAGACACTTCTACTTCCTCAAATTGAAAACTATACATTTGCTGCTGCCAAAAATTTATTGATGAGAAACCAGTGGTAGTTGATTGGGTATTCTTTTCTTTTCAACAGTATATCCAAGAAGTGTATGAAATAAGAGAATCCGTGACCTGCCTAATCCTTCCAGAATAAGCAGGAATATTGTGATACCCAATTTCTTGTGGTCTGGGTGGGTGGTGGGTGTTGTTTATGACTGCATTAGAAAAACAATGATGGGGCACCCTGATTAATATATGCTGCATATTGCAGCATGCTGACTAATCACCCAGACATCTCTGTGTGCCTCAGACTGCTGGGATTCCTCTTCTAAAGGGACTACCAGCTTAGTCCAGCCCCTCCTGATGTGTTGAAGAATTTTTTTTTGGGGGGGGGGCATCAGGTCTGTTGCGTTGGCTTGCGCCCATCCTTCCCGGGGCAGCGTTAGAGGCTCTCCTGTACAGGCAGCGGAAGGGAAGATAACTGTTCGTACTGTTTCTCAAAACAGCTTTGTAGGAGAGAGAAGAAAGGCAGGAGTTCTCAGCTCTGAAAATCTAGGTTCAGTTGCTTACCCTCTTCCAACCTTTGTGTGAGCGGCTTTGGATGGATACTAATGTTATGTTAATGTAATATAAATCAGCTGTAATATTAAAGTTAGCTCTTCATAAGGAAGGTTATGTACTGAAGTGATAGAAGCATGTCAGCGGACACTGTAGTTAGGGAGAATTAACTCTATATAGTTAGGACAATTAATTGTAGTAAGGAAAATGAGAGAAGGAAGGGAATTAACCCAGGCACTTAGCATAGTTTTCTCCCTCTCCTTCTCTCTCTCAAAAAAGAAATAAGGGGTTTAACATTTTTCAAAGAAATCTATTTCTTCTCAGGTCTGCTGTTTCATTTAAAAACAATGCAGGACAATATGTTTTGTGGGCTAAATTATAACTGTAGGTGTTGTACTGAGTAGAGCTAAAGGAGACACTGTGACTCTGAGACACACCTCAGTGGCACACCGTCTGCCCAGGAAAGTAAAATCTTTTTGCACCTGACAGCTGCTCTAACCATTCCCTCTGGCTGTCCCAAATTTATCAGAGAGCTTCCATAATATTCCATATTGGAATTATTTTCAAGGCGTTAAAACACATCTGACATCAAAGACGCCATTTTTGCAGTGGGGTGGACATAGGAATTATTTCTGCTTGGATGGGGATCAGTAGGGAGCGAATCCATTAACACAAAAAAACCCACACACGCACAGAGAAAGATTTAAAAATACCCTTCTTCAAATAGAGAGACAGAATTTGCAGGGAATCTCTTCGTCAGCAGCAAAATGAAATTTATTTTTGGAAAATAGTATCTGTTCAAATTGAAAGTTTCTTTTCACTGTTTTTATATTTACAGTCCAACCTTTCTGGTAGCTTGATTTTGCATTATCACTATTCATCATATCAGCGTTTGTCCTATTTTTGCTCATTGTCTTCTTCCTCCTCCCTTGACAAAACACTGAATGCAATTGTGGTGTCTGGTGGTGACTGTCTTCTAAATGCACCTCCAACTTGATTAGTAAAGAGCCTGAACTTCTAGCCAGTTTGTCTGCCACTTTTTGTAGAGTTTTGCAGCCAAAACCAGACTTTTTATCTCAGGCTTGGATCTAAAGATTCCAAAGAACTCCTTTAACCTTTTTTGGGGAATATTCTTGCAAATAACCAGAATTTTTTTTTTCATGCAGTGAATTATTCTACTTTAAAATGTTCTGTTGCCTTCAAATGTACTTATGTTAGAGTAATAACTTTCTATGTTTATGTGTAGCTATAATATATATTGTAAGCACTCCTAAAGAAATGACTTTTCATTTCTTCTAATGAAATCAGTAATGATTGATCACTATCCAGGTCGGGTTCACTATGATCCCTGAAAGACCTCATGAACAGAGAGAGATTTTGGGTATCTTTTATGTTAATTTTATTAATTCCTTTGGTATTTTTCTTCATGTTGAGTTATTTCTGATTTTTCTTCCTCTTTCTCAAGAAAGTCTATTTTATTACAGCTTCTGATTTTTTTCCTATATCATTAACAGCTTTTGTGTTTGTTTATTAATGGTATTGTTAATGCAGTACATTTATTATGCAGATTATTTTTTTTCTCCAGACTCATAAATCTAATAGTGATGGCCTACTTAGGATGGACTAATTTAAATAAGTGATTTGGCTTCTTGTCTGATTTTAGCTATGATTTAAACTAGCAACCAGAGACCTTAATGTTTGCAGTTACTCCATTACAATCTTGTCTTGTATTTTGAACTTTATTTCTTTTCCTGAACAAACGTTGACTCTCATTGACCAGTTACTATTAAAGCTTTATGGTTTGCAACAAAATAAATCTTAATATTAAACCTAGGGCTTCTTGCTAAGCAAGAAGAATAATGCATTCCTACTATCTGATGACTCTTGTGGCTTGTGTCAAGTTCTGTATAGGACGACAGTGGAATCCAATTACAATGAAGTAAAATGTAATTTAAGAGTATATGTTAGTTAAATCAAAATGTACTGTATAAATACTAAACTTTTTAAAAAGGAAGTATTGTTGTCTGCCTTCTAATATTTGAGAGTTAATAGATCTTCATCTTCCTGTGCCTCATTTAGATGCACATTAGAAAAAGGAAATGTTTCAATTTTTTTTTTCAGGTCCAAACTGATTTCTCAGCTTTGAGTGAGCCAGTGAATGAATGGCATTAGTACTATAAACTTAAATAAAAATATTCTGTGCATCTGCAGAAGACTAGTGTTTCAACAAGCTGCAATTCTTGGTTCTTAGCCAAAGATTTGTGCCAAGATAGTGGTTGATTTTTGTCAGTAAACAGCACTGCTTTAAAATTCAGTTTATAAAGAGCCTTTAGTATGTTCTAGTAAGTTTAGTTTGTAAAATAGGTTGCCATCATTGTTAAGTTGTATATTATTGATAGATTTCTTTTTATATTGTTTTAAATTTAGCACAAGCATATTTGAATATTTAAAAGGGCACCCTAAAAATGAAAATTTAAATCTACAGTGCTGCAGAAGACAAGTTGGTTTGCAGGCAGTTTGTTATGCAAAAACACAACATCATTTGCACCTTTGCGTCTGCCAACTTGATATCGAGCCTTTTGGTTTCCCATGAATTCACTTAGTGTGTGAAGTGAGAGTTACAGAAATATTTTAAGATCTTAACATTAGGGAATGAAGCAGACCCATGTCAACAGTTATTCTTAATTTTATTTTTGCCATCTTGCTGGCAACTTGGGATGAAGCTATTGATCCCCAAACCACAATTTTTCATACAAGAGAGAAGCGTAGATTTCTTTAAAGCCGTTCTTTGTTCCTCGGATGTTTGAGTGCTGCCTCTTGACTCTGCATGCAGCTGTGCTGTGCGCACTAGTGACAACACAGGGTATTTTCTGTGAAAACTAGAGTCAGTGCATGTATTTCTAAAGGACTGATTTAGCTCTTCATAGCAGAAGTTTACTAATGAGCAGTAAACTTTAACTGAAGTCAGAGAATCTACTTCTTTTGTGTGAGCATAAAGTTTTTCATTTCAGTAGGACCAGGCACAAGACCTTTCAGCTTACTACCTTTGCCTAACAGAGAGAGGACATTCTCTCCTGTCTGGAGTATATAAAAGTTTGTTAACTGTTGTCAGCATGGTCCTTACTTTGTATACTTTTCTGCATTTCTGAGTTCACAGTGGCAGCTTGGTGAGGTTAATTGTGGAGCAAAGTTACTTCACCTTCTGAGCTTCAGCTGAAATATTTGCTTGAAAACAAATGAAATGCCAAATATCTTTTTTTTTTTTTTACCATCTCTAAGGTATTCCATTTCCATTCTGAATTAAGGACAGCATTCAAAATTAAACATCAAGGCAATACTGCTTTTGTGTGAGACTGTGTTTGGGGTTTTTTTTTATTATCTGTTTCTAACTGAGTTGCTAAAACCAAATGGGAAAATTCACAGTTGAGGTTTTAGCATATTTTTGTACTTGCATTGTATTTATATAGCCATGTTGTCTTCAGAACTAGAAAACTATTCCTGGGGAAAAGATGATTACTGAACACAAAAGGTACAAATAAAGCCTTTTATTTCTACGGAATCACAGGATGGCTGAGGTTGGAAGAGACCTCTAGAGGTCATCTTACCCAACCTTCCTGCTCAAGCAGGGCCACCTAAAGCAGGTTGCCCAGGACCATGCCCACACAACTTTTGAAGAGACTCCGTAACTTCCCTGGGCAACCCGTGCCAGTGCTCAGTCACCCTCACAGTAAAAGAAGTGTTCCCTGAGGTTC